ATGTCCCTTATTTAATTAAAACATAATACTAAATAGAGTATAATAGAATTAATTTAATTATATATTCTAACAGAACTTTCTTAGTCAACCTGTCCAACTCTCACTTTCATCAGCTCATTCAATATATACATTTTGTCTTCCTCTTGATGACCTCGGGGCATTCATATACCTGGGCCAGCAGCAGGCAGTTTAAACTCAGCATGTACATTGACCCCCATCGATAAATATATGTGGCCATATAAATAATACAAATGTTACGCACCCAGTGCGTGTCACTTGAAGGAGAGTCCTCAAGGACGCTTACAGTATAAATAACAATTTGTACGCTTACATTTGTACTTATATTTATCTATTTATTTATTTATAAGTGCGCTATATTTATTCGAAGTCTTACCTGCGATTTGACAAAATCATCGGGCGTATCATGATCGAAGCCGCAGTGCTTACGTTTAAATTCTTTTTTCACTGGATGCAGTACTATCACCTGAAGTTTTGTCATTTTGCTGGTCTTCAAGCTCACTTGGTTAGATTTTGTATTGTACTTTTTATTGTTGTTTGATCTGTGGAGATTTTGTTGTGTGCTGCTTCACAATTTTAATAGTTGTGCCGAAACATGCAACGCAAATTATTATACTAGGGTTGCAATTTGTGGAAATGTCATAGTTGTAGCCGTTTCTAATATTTGTATAGCCGCATCGAAGCTGTGAGCTGTGAACGAAAGAGAATACGTTGCTCATCAAATATAAATTGAATGTGACTAATTTAAAGCTAATTGCCATTACTACCATTAATTAGACGCAAAGCCAACAAATTCTAATGCTAGTTTGTCAAGGTAAAGACAAGTATATTTTACTTTTAGAATAGAAATGCTTAACTGTAAAACTATGAAAGATATAGATAAACTTTATGTATTAACTGCAGACTTAAATCTGTATAATTACCGATTAGATCAATATTTCTTTAATTGTGAAAGGGTTAATTATTTGAATCACAAAGGGAAATATTATTTTTTAAGAGTAGCACTTGAAGTTAAAGTTGTGAATAGAAGCAGCTAATAATTAAGTTAATTTACAAGAAATACTCATAATTTACTATATTTAAATCTGTGCGGCCTTGGAAAGACATGGAGATGAACAGGAAGAAGTGAGTATTTAGATCCGAGTCAACCTCTTGAGTAAAAATATATATGCAGTCATCTACACCCTCTACTGCTTATAACATGAATTAGCTAAAATATATAAAAACCCATAAAAATGCTCATGATTGCATGAATTTCAATTTTGAATTGCTTCTGTATAAACAGTCTTTAGTATGTCAAATAAAGATTTCTTTCTATAAGTATTACAAGAAAACAGTAAAAAATTAATAAATACTGTACTTAGAATATTCTAAGTATATGTTAAAATATAATATATTCTTAGACATAAAACTACTTGAATATTACGACAATTTCCATAAGCCGACCTGAAATAGTTTTTGGTACATTGACAAGTTTTTCAAGCATTTCATCAACTGAGTAGCCCAACTCCTAGTGTTTTCTGTTTTTAGCAGAATTTTTCATTCATGATTGTTTTTCTTGATCGTCAACAACGAATCTTGTTTACGTAATAATACTTTTTTTTTTGTTTTCGCTCTAAATTTTTGGACATGAACAAAGTAAGAAAATTTGTGTTGACAACGTGGCGTCCAGTGTTGCAAGGTAAAATAATTCGTTTCATTTGCTCATGGAACCATTTGATTTAACCGATTTCTGTAACTCCCTTGAAAAGTTACCCGTATGTGTTGTGATGCAAAGGTAAAGAATCTTGTGGCGTTTCCAGATGTCAATATTGGCGAAGGAAAGCTCAAATATATTCTTGCCAAGGTGTACGTACATGGCGAAATGGGCCAGTCAAAGACTGTAATACGTGGTGTATCTCGGGTCAAATACCATCGTGAGTGCTAATATCTTGGCTCGTTGAGGAACATTTTTGATAATCAAATATTTACTATTACCATTCAGTCGATGTCTATGATCAGTTGCAAAAGGAGGCCAATAAGCTAGATCTATGCACACAGTGCCTGGGCGGTGGTATAATGGTTCATGACAACGATAAGCATTATATCAAGATTTATGGTCGCTCTCAGACATTGGGCAGAGCTGATCATCACGAGGCCAGAGAGGTATTGCACGAACATGACAAGTATTCATCGTATAAAATTGATGCTGAATCTGGTGGACAGGATGCTTGAAATTGGTTTAAATTTTCGAAATTAACTGTATTTCGATTCCGACCACAACAATTCATTAATGTTAATAAATATGTAATTCAGTTACCGGCCTCTAAACGGCATAAATTGTATCGTAAGTCGATAGCTCGATTACAGATTGTAAAAAATATATTATTTCAAAATAGCTGAAGTATCGATAAATGAACTATTTTTTTTAGCGTTTAGCTATACTGATAGTAAATTTTTTTCTTCAATGATATTTTAAATTTTTTCGATTGATAAATAAAATCTCAGAATGGGTTGAAATTGGCCAATCATAAAATGGTCATCTTAGCTCTAAGAACTATATTGTTATGTGCTTTATCGTACTCTCTAAATGGATATCGAACGATGTCATAAATACATCTTTATGTCTGACCTTGAAGCCGCCAAAAAATTTCTTTACTCTTTACCTAATAATTCACACCTTAAATGAATTTCATACTGGGCATCAACCGTTTTGTTACTACCAGCCATTCGTTTATTATCATTATAGACCTACGTATACCCCTGCAGGTTTCAGTCGTATCCAGTACTTTTTAAAGCGCTTTAAGCGCATACGCGATGCTTATTAATGGCTATATAAATGACTACTGAATATTGAGTGATTCACTGTTATTCACTTCAGTGCACTCGAATATTATTTATGCAAAATTATAATCGCTTATAATTGTCTATGTATACATGTTTATTATAACCGCCAATTCATTTGAATAAAACAATGAACTCAGCTAAGGTCGACACTGCTCGCACCCAAAAAGGGCGCCATGAAATTATTAACAAAACACAAGGTGAGCATGTGTACAGACATATATATAAATTACTATAATAACATTAAAAACTCGTACTGTAGGTCATAGTCTGAGTTGAGTGTTAGCTAATTCATAAAACACTTGAAAGCTGCTTGTTTTGAGGCACCAGGTCATAGATTTTCACATGGTAAAAACTTTGTACTTCAGCTTATGGTCATATAATGGCCAGCTTAATTAAACGACAAAAAAAAAAACCTTTCTACAAAAAACTATAAAGTCACAAGTTAGGACATTTGAGTAAAGCTGTATGCACCTTATTTATTGTGCGGAAAAATCTCTTATTTAAAATAACCTTTACAGACGTTTTTTAACTTAATTTTATTATTATTTTGTAATTAGTTTAAAGCGGAAGTTTGAAATAACTTTATATGGAATATATTAAAATATCAACATGCTGATTTATGTCCCAACATTTTTTTTTAACTGACTTATTTCGTAGTACTCGAAATTTTAGCTTGTTACTAGGTACAAAATATTTGCATTTCCGTTTAGCGTACACCGGTTAATCTTAAGCTCAGTAAGTTCCTGCTTAGAACACTTGAGCCTATGCACGTTAAATTGAATTATTTGAAGGAATAATAAACATTTCCATATTTAATTTTCAACATAAATATATATCTGAATTATTATCGATACTATTTCCGATTAGTTATGCACTTTTCGACAGCTGTTTTAGAAGAGACGAAATAAACTTATTTTTCCAATGAAGTCTCTTTTGAAATTGAGCAATCGAATGCAAAAAGCAAGGCAATAAAATAAATATTTATCAGCTGTTACTAAGTTACAAAACATCGCATTGAATTTCAGGTCTGTTTTCAAAACAACGACGAAAAAATGGGCAAAAGCAAAACTGAAATAATAAAACATTTAATGAGGTACTACACTCGCGGCCCTGAACTTGCACGAAGGCCCACGAAAAGCAAACTTCGAGAAACTCAAGAGACACGTCTTGTAGAGTAGGAGGGGTCTCAACAAGCCAACTATTTATGTTAACAACTCACCAACTAGCCATAGTTACCAGGTGTACACACATGTGTATCTTTTATATTTGTGACTATTTCATTTCATTCACTTTTGTGCTACATTTTCGTCAACAACAAAAGAGCGCCAGATAAGTGTGTGCACAACACATAAAAGGTATACACAATTATCTATGCACGTATATACATACATATATACTATTTAGGCTTATGGCTCTTGCATGTGTACCACATTGAACCGTGATTCTGGTTGTTGAAAAACTTGCGGACGAATTTTGAGGTGAATGAAAACTTGTTGACCTTTACATTCAAAATGAGCCAACTGAATGCAGCACAAAGGCAAAAGATACAAAAATATGATAAAGCTGGAGAGCCCAAAGATAAGATATATTTAATTGCTGGCAAAGCAATCTCAAAATCTCGCTCTCCAGCTGCGCATGTGACTAATTCAAAACAATCCAAAATTTAACTAAATTTGCTTTATTTCAAATCAATCTTTATCGCATGGAAAGTGAAATCAAAAGAGTTCAACGCCATTTCCAATGCAAATATATGTATAAATAAAAGACTATAAAAAAAGCAAAAGTATCGACTTGCTTTACTCTACCCATTTGCATATGAGTTTTGTGTAGTATTTGCTTTCAGCCAAACTTATTGTTGACATTCTTGAGATTTATTTGGCAACGAGATGCTAATTGGCTTATTGACTGAGATCGGCTGGCTGCATTACTATCGGTGTGAATTAACTGATTAGAATTATTTATGTATATAAATCAGATAAGTCGTCTTCAATAAACAGCGTGTGCAGCCTTGTTAGCAATTAGATAAAGAATTTTTCAGATAAATTTCTATACTCTGTGCACAATGAAATGAAATAAAATGGGGTATTGTGATTATGAGAAGAAAGCCTATAGTGAGAGTTAGAGAAGGGATCTGAGAAGATGTGGCTTAACTTTCAAATTCAATTTGATCTTGGTTGACAATAACAATATGGAAAATACATTTAAACAAGATTTGATGGTGCTTTTCTGGTTAGACAGGCAGTTATACGAATTCTCGGCTGCCAAAATGTGAACCTGTTCTTCTATGCTGATTAAATTTAATTCAAGTTTAAAATTGAAATTAGATCAATATTTTAATTATAAATTTTTTAAACCCTCCTTAACT